TTTTCCCTTCCCGCATTTCCTTTTATGTTTACATTTTTTTCTGGTGTATGTGCACAAGCATGTTGCATTTTATTTTTGTCCTCTAAATAGCCATTATTGGTATGTTGTTTTGATTGGCATCAATGCTGCGATGGATGGGGATGGGAAAATACTGGTTCTGTGAAACATACCCGCCTTATCCTACCATTAGTGGCATGGCTCTTCGGCTCTTATTCTGCGTATTGGTGTGCAGTAGCGTTATTTTGCCTCTCGCTGTTTGAGGATTGTGTTTAACAAAAAACAACAACATAAAATCCTTGCGGCCGGGCGCTGTGGCTCCGCCTGTAACCTAGCTCTCTGGGTGAGCGAGGCGGGCGGTTGCTCAAGGTCCAGGAGTTCGATACCTGCCTGGAGACATGAGCGAGCCCGTTCTACTATAAATAAAAGAAATGTCTAAATGGCACGCTATTATATAAAAGTAGCCGGCATGGTGGCGATGCTGTAGTCCAGAGCTTGACTGGAGAGCTGAGCAGGAGGATCGCTTGAGCCAGTGAATTGAGGTTGCTGTGAGCGTACGGCTGACGCCACGGACTCGACTCTAGCTGGACAACAGTGAACTCTGTCTCAAAAAAAAAGAAATCTCTTGCACTGCCTTGTTTCAATTGGATACGTTAAAAAAAAAAAAAAAAAAAAAACCAAAAAATCCTTGCATGCCTTGTTCAATTGGAGAATTTTAATGTTTTTCATTTATCATTGTAAAACCAAGGACAATTTTATAACTTTTTTGTACATAGCTGTTACATGTAGGGCAATCTGTCTTTAAGTAGGGATAAATTACTCTAAAAAGAAAATGAATCCTAGATAGTTTTCTCTTCAAGTCAAGCGTCTTGTTATTTAAATAAACTTCTTGTTTAAAATGAAAAAAAAAAAAAAAAGAACTTAAAAGTCACTTATAATTTAACCATGTGGAAGTAACTACTATTAACATTTTTGTTAAATTTTATTCTGGCTTTTTTTTTTTTTTAAGAGACCATCTCTCACTATATTACTCAGGCTGGCCTCGAACTTCTGGACTCAAGTTATCCTCCCATCTCAGCCTCCTGAGGAGCCAAGACTACAGCATGTAGTACCACACTAGCTCATTCTGGCATTTTCTGTGCATAGATTCATATATAATTTGCTCATGTATATTTTTAAAACAATTTTGAATTTTTTCATTATGAAATATTAGAATATATCTGCCTATTTTATTACAGTGATGACCCATAATTTTTATGTTAATATATATAGTTCATAGTTCTTGGTAATTTTGGTTATTTTAATTTTACCACTATAAAAAATATGACTATTCTTGTATTTAAGTATTTTTTGATATGGCAGCTTTGTTGAGATATAATGAATCTATAAAATTCATCCCTTTAAAGGGTACAAATTCAGTATTTTTTAGTGTATTCACAGAGTTGTACAGCCATCAGCACTAATTTCAGAACATCTTCAACACCCTTAAATGAAATTTGATACTGGCAATGACTCTCCATTTCCCCTTCCTACATCCCTACATAACCACTAATCTACTTTCTATCTCTGTGCATTTGCCTGTTCTAGACAAATGGAATTTAGGCATACAAATGGAAATATATTAGGTCATTAAATGTGAAATGTCTGAGTTCGAGTCAGAAGGGCAGTTTATTATATCTCAAACAAGAAGCAGTACAATTAATCAAAGTATTAATAAACTATCAACACAGTTTAGCCATCTTAACGATACCTTGTTTATGCCAGCACTGAAGAAGTCTAGAGAGCAAGTGGTAATGAAATCATGAAAAGTATTTTCCACAACTTGTTTAGAATTGAATATTTTTCCTTGCAAGAAGTGGTCCAAAGCCTAGAAAAAGTGGTAGTCAGTTGGTGCAAGTTCTGGTGAATACAGTGGACTGACAGAGGGTTTCCAAGTCCAGCCTCTATAGTTTGAGCAGCATTGTTTCTACGACATGTGGTCAAACATTGTCTTGCAAGAGGATTGACCTGTGTCTAATGACCAATCTCAGCTCCTTAATTGCAAGCATCCTTGTCATATCATCCAGGTTGGTTGCAGTAGACATCTGCTGTGATCAAATGACCAGGTTTCATGAAGCTGTAGTGGATAATACCAGTCCTGGGCCACCAAACAGACACCATTAGCTTTTATTGATGAATAATTTGGAAAATAGCGACATTGAACACAACCATACATTCAAAACACATCCATTGATGCACACAACTAAAATATATATAAAAGGACAGAGTCTACACTTTGTTGCCCAGGCTAGAGTGAGTGCCGTGGCGTCAGCCTGGCTCACAGCAACCTCAATCCTCCTGGGGCCTCAAGCGATCCGCCCGCCTCGGCCTCCCAAAGTGCTAGGATTACAGGCGTGAGCCACCGCGCCCGGCCCGAACTCTTGCAATTGTCAAAAAGAAACCATTTTTCATCACATGTAACAACATGGTGTAGAAATAGTTCACCTTTATGTCATGAAAACAAAGGCAAGCTTCAAGATGATTTCTGATGCTCGCTTAATTCATACAGAACCCATCTATCCAGCTTCTTTACCTTGCTGCTTTGTTTCAAATGATCCAATATTGTTGGAGTAGTAACAGCAAACCTTGCTGCTAATTAATGTGCAGGTTGAGATGGATTTGCTTCCACTACAGCTTTCAGCTCATCATTATCTGCCTTGGTCTCAGATCATCCCCATGTCTCGTTTTCAGTATTAAAATCAGCAGAACAGAACTTCTTAAACCATCCGTGTACGGTGCATTCATTAACCACGTCCTTCCCAACTTGGTTGATCCTTCAAGCTGTCTGTGCTGTGTTGGTTCCACGACAGAACTCATGTTCAAAAATAACATGAGGCCGGGCACGGTGGCTCACGCCTGTAATCCTAGCACTCTGGGAGGCCGAGGTGGGCGGATTGCTAGAGTTCAGGAGTTCAAAACCAGCCTGAGCAAGAGCGAGACCCTGTCTCTACTACAATTGGAAAGAAATTAATTGGCCAACTAAAAATATATACAAAAAAAAAATTAGCTGGGCATGGTGGTGCATGCCTGTAGTCCCAGCTACTCGGGAGGCTGAAGCAGGAGGATCGCTTGAGCCCAGGAGTGTGAGGTTGCTGTGAGCTAGGCTGACGCCACGGCACTCACTCTAGCCTGGGCAACAAAGTGAGACTCTGTCTCAAAATAACATGAATTTATGACTCATCCACAGTTTCACAAAAATTGCTCTAAAAAATATTTGAAAGATACATCATAAGCCAAAGCATGCATTTGAAAGGTTAAAGAGGTACCTTCACAATAAAAATAAAACAAGCGGTGTCAAAGCGAAGTGTCAGAGGTACCTACTGTCAAACCAAACTTAGTACTTAAGGAAATCGAATATTTTGTTCTTAATAACCTAATACTGTATAGCCTTTGTGTCTGACCTCTTTGATTTAGCATATTTTCAGGGTTCAATCATGTTATAGGTTGTATTAGTTCTTCATTCCTTTTTATTGCCAAATAGTATTCCATTGGACGCCACATTTTATTTATGCATTTGTCAGTCGATAGACATTTGGATCATTTCCACATTTGGGGCTATTAATGAGTAATACTACTGTGAAAAACGTGTAAGTTTTTGTATGGTCATATGTTTTTAGTTTTCTCAAGTATATATCTAGCAGCGGAATGGTTAACTCTATGTTTACCTTTATGAAGAATTACCAAGCCATATACCAAAGTGGCTGCACCGTTTAACATTCCCACCGGCAGTGTATGAGGGTTCCAGTTTTTCTGTATCCTCACTAAAACATGTTAGGGGTTTTTTTAATTATTATTATTATTATAGTCATCTTAGTGGGTGTGAAGGGATATGTCATTATGGTTTTGATTTGAATTTCTCTGATGACCAATGATATCGAGTGTCTTTTCATGTGCTTATTGGCCAGTTGCATATCTTCTTTGGAGAAATAAATGTATGTTCAAATCCTTTATCCATTTTTTTCCTTCCTTTTTCTTAAATTGGGGTAGTTGCCTTTTTGTTCACTTTTTTTTGCTTTGTTAGTGCTGTTTATTGAGTGTTGTCAGAGGCATTTTTGTTCAGTTATAAGAGTTCTTTACATACTCTGAATACAAATTCCTTATCAGATATATGATTTGCAAATATTATCTCCCATTCTTTGAGTGCCTTTCAACCCAAATGGCAAAAAAATAATAATAATCATAGTGGGTTACTATATATGTATAGAGAAAATCTAGAAGAGGCTACACCAAAGTTTGTAAAGTGAGAGTGGAATTACAAGGACTGTCAACTTCTAAGTTCACATGTGTTTACATTTTTTAAATTCTTAGTTTTTCAGAAAGAGCATCCTTTATTCAATAAAAAAAGTTTTAAACTTTGTTATTGAAGTACGATATATATAGAAAAGTTTACAGATAATTTTTTATGAGTAAATAGTAAATGAATTTCTATTAGTGTTATCAGATAAAATTATGTATAAGAATTTATTAAAATTTGTTCACTGATAAAACTTCCCTGTGGAAGTTCATTGCCAATATATTGAGTATATTCTATAACACTGAAACTTTCATATGCTCCTCAGAAAAGACCTTTAAAAGATCATAACATTCAATAAATATTTATCCAAGTCCTGCTGTGTATCAGGAACTATTCAAGATGTAACTATGCTATTTACTTTTTTTATTTATTTATTTTTTTTGAGACAGAGTCTCACTTTGTTGCCCAGGCTAGAGTGAGTGCCATGGCGTCAGCCTAGCTCACAGCAACCTCAGACTCCTGGGCTCCAGCGATCCTTCTGCCTCAACCTCCCGAGTAGCTGGGACTACAGGCATGTGCCACCATGCCCGGCTAATTTTTTTTTGTATATATTAGTTGGCCAATTAATTTCTTTCTATTTATAGTAGAGATGGGGTCTCGCTCTTGCTCAGGCTGGTTTCGAATTCCTGACCTCGAGCAATCCGCCCGCCTCGGCCTCCCAGAGAGCTAGGATTACAGTCAAGAGCCACCGCGCCCGGCCTTATAATCCAGTTCTTTTTGCATATAAAATATGTTTTTCAGAGAAATATGTTTTGGGAGCTTTATCATTTTGTTTCTTTGCTTTTAAGGGAATTACCTTCAGAATTACAGGGAATTTTTAATAAAGAGGAGGTGGATGTTAAAGTTGAAGATAAGAAAAATGAAGTGTGTGTCTCTACAAAGCCTGTGTTTCAGCCCTTTTCGGGACAAGGTCACAGACTGGGAAGGTGAGTGTGCTTATTATCTGTATTTTCCATGAGCAGAGGCTGAATATTAATTCAGTGTGTTATTCTACACATGTAGACCACATGTATGGAGCTTTATTTTTCCCACTGGAAATGAGATTTTTCAATGTTAATTTTTATGAGGACTTCTAAGTCATATTTACCCTAGTGTATATTAACATCTCTTTGGTGTTACACTGAAAAATCATGGAGGCTTTTTAGCTTTATCAAATCAAAAGGGCCTGGCTGGCCAGCCACGGTGACTCATGCCTGTACTCCTAGCTCTATGGGAGGCCAAGGCAGGAGGATTGCTCGAGGTCAGAAGTTCAAAACCAGCCTGAGCAAGAGCGAGACCCCGTCTCTACTAAAAATAGAAAGAAATTAATTGGCCAACTAATATATACATAGAAAAAATTAGCCAGGCATGGTGGCGCATGCTTGTAGTCCCAGCTACTCGGGAGGCTGAGGCAGAAGGAGTGCTTAAGCCCAGGAGTTTAAGGTTGCTGTGAGGTAGGCTGATGCTACAGCATTCACTCTAGCCTGGGCAACAAAGTAAGACTCTGTCTCAAAAAAAGGAGGGGCCTGGCTTATTAAGGACAGAATTCAGTGAATAAATCCTCTTCCCTCCCTTGTGCCCACCACTTGAGCTTTGCCATGATGCTACAAAGTATATATGCTAGCTTTTTAAAATTATTTATGGTTTTTATAGCTTTTGAATATCATGGTTCATTTTATAGTTACCAGTACCTGCAACTCTTTGTGTTCTGTGATCAGTATATGAATTTTGAGGTAATGAAAATGAAAATATGCCTGATACAATTAGCAATATCAAAGCCTTGGGTTGAGCATGGTAGCTCACCCTGTAATCCCAGTACTCTGAGACGGTGAGGCAAAAGGATTGCTTGAGCTCAGGAATTCGAGACCAGCCTGAGCAAGAGTGAGACCCCCATCTCTACTAAAAATAGAAAAGAAAAAATTATCCAGGCATGGTGGTGAGCACCTATAGTCCCAGCTACTTGGGAGGCTGAGGCAGAAGGATTGCTTGAGCCCAAGAGCTGGAGATGCTGTGAGCTAGGCTGATGCCATGGCACTTTAGCCCGGGCACCAGAGTGAGACTCTGTCTCAAAAAACAAAACAAAACAAAATAAAACAAAAAAACCCCAATATCAAAGCCTTTAGTTATTTTCATGTTTTGCGGTTGTTGGTTTTTTTTTGTTTGTTTTTTTTTTTTGAGACAGAATCTCGCTCTGTTGCCTAGGCTAGACTGCTGTGGCATCAGCCTAGCTCACAGCAACCTCAAACTCCTGGGCTCAAGCAATCCTCCTGCCTCAGGCTCCTAAATAGCTGACACTACAGGCATGCGCCACCATTTTTTCTATATATTTTTTATTTGTCCAGATAATTTCTTTCTATTTTTAGTAGAGACCGGGGGGTGTCATTCTTGCTCAGGGGGTCTCAAACTCCTGACCTTGAGCAATCCTCTGGCCTCAGCCTCCCAGAGTGCTAGGATTACAGGCATGAACCACCACACTCGGCCAAGTTTTGCAGTTTTTATCATCTCTAACCATGCCTTATGACAGAAATTAGATATGGGAAAACTTTGATTTTTATAAATTCTCATAGTTTAATTATCAAGATAATATTGATAATATATATTCATCCACATATACAAAAATATCTGGATGTGTCTTTCCAGAATGATCAGGAAATACTTCATTTCTTTTCCTTCATAGCCCAAGGACTGCTCTCTATAGAGAACTTATAATTTCTTCAGAAATTTAACCTGAGCAGTCTAAAGTCCATAGATCCATGAATCATCTAAAATAATCTATTGTATAAAGCACTACTCAAATAATACAAGTAATAACATATTTATGCAGCACTATGCTAACTTAAAAATTATTTGGATATGTAAATTTCATTAGATTCTTAGAACCATCATTTATTGTGGATATAACTAATATATAATATCTTTATGCTATTGAAGAAACAGCTGTGACTTACAAAAATCTTCATAAAGGCTATTTTTAATATAAGTTTTTTAATAGTAATTATTTAATAATAAAGTTCTGCACAGTGGAAAAACAAGTATCTAACCTTGTTGTCTGAATTTTCTTAGTGCTACACCAAAAATTGTTTCTAAAGCAAAGAGTACTGAAGTTGACAATAAAAATAATTTGTCTGCTGTTCCACTGAATAACTTGGAACCCATAACTAATATACAGATCTGGTTAGCCAATGGCAAAAGGATTGTCCAGAAATTTAACGTTTCTCATAGGTGAGTCTTCATTTCAGTATTTGTCTGATTTTTTTTTTTTCTAGTTTAAATTTCATTTCTTTTTTCAGTTCAGTCAGCAGAACTATTTTTAAGAACTAACCAAGTGCTCTTCTACTGGGGTTGGGAAAAAGTAAAAAAAAGCGCTAACCAAGGAATTTTTTTTTTTTCAGACAGAGTCTCGCTTTGTTGCACAGGCTAGAGTGAGTGCCGTAGCATCAGCCTAGCTCACAGCAACCTCAAACTCCTGGGCTCAAGCAATCCTCCTGCCTCAGCCTCCCGAGTAGCTGGGACTACAGGCATGCACCACCATGCCCGGCTAATTTTTTTCTATATATATTAGCCAATTAATTTCTTTATTTATAGTAGAGACGGGGTCTCACTCTTGCTCAGGCTGGTTTTGAACTCCTGACCTCGAGCAATCCTCCCACCTTGGCCTCCCAGAGTGCTAGGATTACAGGCGTGAGCCACCGTGCCCGGCCCCAAGGAATTTAATTAATAATTCTCTAAACATAATATGTCAAGACAATGGAAATTCTTGGACATTAATGTAGTATTTTCAGTCTGTTTTAGAGGTTTTCATTCTGGTCATTTGATTCATCTTCCTGTTCAACTAGATATACAATATTAAAAGAATTATTTAAAATATGTTTTAAAATTAGTCATTGTCATATGCATCTGTTAAGTATAGCAAAAGAATGAAAATATAGGCCCAGCACAGTGGCCATGCCTGTAATCCTAGCACTCTGAGAGGCTCAGGCGGGAGGATCGCTTGAGGTCAGAAGTTTGAGACCAGCAACCAGCCTGAACAAGAGCAAGACCCTGTCTCTACTAAAAATAGAAAAAATTAGCCTGGTAGCATGCGCCTGTAGTCCCAGCTACTTGGGAGGCTGAGGCAGGAGGATCACTTGAGCCCAGAAGTTGGAGGTTGCTCTGAGCTAGGCTGATGCCATAGTACTCTAGCCCAGGAGACTCTGTCTCCAAAGGTGAAAAATAAATGAAAATACAGAAACATATTGAAAGAAATTGAAGTTAAAGTTTAATGTAAATTCCAGCCTTAGACATAATCAATATCATCAGTTTGATACATTAGTCCAGTCTTTTATTCATAAAAGTTTTTCCTGGCCAGACATGGTGTCTTCTGCCTATAATCCCAGTGCTTTCCCAGGATGAGGTGGGAGGATCTTGCTTAAAGCCAGGAATTCAAGACCAGCTGGGGCAATATAATGAGACCCTAACTCGGGGGGGAAAAAAAAATTAGCCAGGCATGGTGGCACCCACCTGTAGTCCCAGCAACTAGGGAAGTTGAGAAGGAAGGATCACTTGAGCCCAGGAGTTTGAGGTTATAATGAGCTATGATTGCACCACTGCCTTCCAGCCTGGGCAACAGAGCAAGACCCAGGCTGTAGGAGGAAAAAGCAGTATCTACCAGGCTCTTTTTTAGTAAAGTTATTCTTTTTCCTTTTGTAAGTAAGATATATTTTATGGAGAAGAACTTTGAAATTGCATAATATCATGTTCTCACAAGACCTCACATTTATTTATTTATTTACATCTGTATCTACTCATAGTTTCCAAGTTTATTCAATAGGTTATCTGCCAGGAATGGTGGCTCATGCCTGTAATCTCAGCACTTTGGGAGACTGAGGTGGGATGATTGCTTAAGCACAAGAGTTAGAGACCAGCCTGGGCAAAATAGCAAGACTCCAATCTCTATAAGAAAAAAATTAATAGATTATGAGCCCTTGCCATCATTATTTATTTATTTTTTATTTTTCTAAAGATATATTACACCAAATCTTTTTTTTTTTTTTTTTTTTTTTTTACAGAGTCTCGCTTTATTGCCCAGGCTAGAGTGAGTGCTGTGGCATCAGCCTAGCTACTATTTTCTGAACACTTTCTATGTGCTTGACTCTCATGAAGGCATTTCACTTACATTATTTATAAATGTCGAAATCACTTTAGACAACTAGAATCAGGGAAGTGATTATCATAACAATAGAAGCAACCTCAAACTCCTGGGCTCAAGTAATCCTTCTGCCTCAGCCTCCCGAATAGCTGGGACTACAGGCATGTGCCACCATGCCCGGCTAATTATTAGTTGGCCAATTAATTTTTTTCTATTTATAGTAAAGACGGGGTCTCACTTTTGCTCAGGCTGGTTCGAACTCCTGACCTCGGCCTCCCAGAGTGCTAGGATTACAGGCGTGAGCCGCCGCGCCCAGCCTATACCAAATCTTAAGACAAAGGAATTAGACATTAAGAAAGAGGTCTGTTCCAAATTTACAGTCTAGTGCAGTTTACTTGTATGTACACTTCATTATTTTGGTACTCAGATTGTCTCAGGTACAGTTAGTGAGACCTCCTTTAAACTAATTCCTATTTTCTTTTGATATGTTCATGTAATTCTTTGAGCATTTTCTTCTTTTCTGGCACAAAAAAATTTTCAGGTTCTTTCTATACTTTTCCAAAAGCCCTGGTTCTTTTTACTGGACAGTGGTATTGAGAAGCCAGGATCTCAGAAGTAGATATGTTAAATACTTTTTGCTTATCAGGGTACCACTATTCCTAGACCCTTTGTGTGGATAGTGGTACCATTGTATGTACACACATAACACGCAGAAAAGAAAACCCTATTTAAACTATTTTAAGAAATTGAAAAGGAGGGAATACTTCCAGACTCATTCTGTAAGGCCAGCATTACCCTGATACCAAAACCAAAGACACAACATAAAGGAAATTGTACATACGCATATGCATATGCACATACAGACATACATATGTACATACATTTACATCTAACTCTGTATCTTTATGTATGGAAAACCATGAGTTCACATAGATACCTCCAGTTTCAGTCCACAGGGTTTGTTCTAGTTTTCTCCTTTGCATATCTGTAACTAACTTCTCCCGCAGTAAAATGCCTGGCTCAAGTTATTTTTGTTTTTATTTTTTGTATGTTTATTTTTGCGGGGGTGGGGGGGTTTGTTTGTTTGAGACAGGGTCTGGCTGTCTTTCCCAGGCTAGAGTGCGGTGACATCATAATAGCTCACTGCAACATCAAACTCCTGGTCTCAAGCTATCCTCCAGCCTCAGCCTCCCAAGTAGCTGGGACTACAGTTGCAAGCCACTACACCTGGCTAGTTTTTCTATTGAGGAGACAGAGTCTTGTTATGTTGCCCAAGCTAGTCTCAAACTCCTGGCCTCAAGTGATCCTCTAGCCTTGCCCTCCCAAAGTGCTGGGATTACAGGCATGAGTCATTGTGCCAGGCTACACTGTCTTAATAATTATTGCTTTATAATTTATTGGTTTTTTTCTGCTTATTGTATTTGTTACCAAAAAAAGTGTGCTAAAAACTCCAACTATGATTATGGATTTGTCTATTTCTTCTATTCTGTTAACATTTGCTTTATATATTTTAAAACTATATAATTAGTTAGGTCCAGCAGAGATAAAATTGTATTTTTCTGATTAATTGAAGTTCTAGGGGAGAAAAGAATTCTTTCCTCACCTATTACTAGGTTCATGGCTGAGGAGACTCCTTATAACAAAAGACAGATTAACAAAAGAAAAGTATATAAATTTATTTAACATACTTTTACTTTTTTATTTATTTATTTTTTTGAGACAGAGTCTCACTCTTGTTGCCCCGGCTAGAGTGCCATGGCGCCAGCCTAGCTCACAGCAACCTCAAACTCCTGGGCTCAAGCGATCCTCCTGCCTCAGCCTCCCAAGAAGCTGGGACTACAGGCATGCACCACCATGCCCAGCTCATTTTTTCTGTATATTTTATTTGGCCAATTAATTTCTTTCTATATTTTTTAGTAGAGATGGGGTCTCACTCTTGCTCAGGCTGGTCTTGAACTCCTGAGCTCAAACAATCCGCCTGCCTCGGCCTCCCAGAGTGCTAGGATTACAGGCATGAGCCACCGTGCCCAGCCTATTTAATATACATTTTACATGACACAGGTGCCTTCAAAAATGAAGACCCAAAGAAACAGGGAGACCTGTGTATTTTATATTATGTTTGATGAAGAAATCGATAGTTTTGGAGAAGTATGATTGGAGGGTAAAGGGGCTATGATCTGGGGCATACTTAGCAAGTCTTGTGTGTTCAGATTCCTTTGGGCACCTCTGTATCTCTGTATCTCTAGAATGAAGGTTTTATGACCTACTTTAAAAGGAAGGACAGAATTATTTTATGGCCTACTTTCAGGGGGGAAGGTGAGAGTAACTTTCCTGCTTCTAGTGTTTGCTCAAATGTCAAGGTGCCATATTATATCGTAGCATGTCCTAACCTCATCAACCATTTTAGCACAATGACATGTCCCTCTTAATCACTGATAATGCTTTTTGTGTTGAAATTTACTTTGTTTGATACTAGTATAGCTACACCACCTTCCTTAGTGTATGCATGGTATATCTTTCTCCTTCCTTTTAATTTGAGTTTATCTGTTTATTTCTCTGTATATTTAAAGGTATCCCTTATACTTGAGTTTTGTTTTTATATTTATCTTATTATGGTTTGGTTTGGTTTTTAGGTACTATTTTCTTTTTTTTTTTTTTTTTTTTTTTTTTTTTTTGAGACAGAGTCTTGCTTTGTTGCCCAGGCTAGAGTGAGTGCCATGGCATCAGCCTAGCTCACAGCAACCTCAAACTCCTGGGCTCAGGCAATCCTCCTGCCTCAGCCTCCCAAGTAGCTGGGGCTACAGGCATGCACCACCATGCCCGGCTAATTTTTTTTTTCTATATATATTAGTTGGCCAATTAATTTCTTTCTATTTTTATATAGTAGAGACGGGGTCTCGCTCTTGCTCAGGCTGGTTTCGAACTCCTGACCTCGAGCAATCCGCCCACCTCGGCCTCCCCAGAGTGCTAGGATTACAGGCGTGAGCCACTGGGCCCGGCCTAGCTACTATTTTCTGAACACTTTCTATGTGCTTGACTCTCATGAAGGCATTTCACTTACATTATTTATAAATGTCAAAACCACTTTAGACAACTAGAATCAGGGAAGTGATTATCATAACAATAGAAGCAGCATATGTTTGAATTGGTGTCCTGGAATGTTTTTCTGTGACCTAGATTCCTTTCAAATGAAAAGAAGGGCAAACTAAAGTTATAAAAAAAATGGGAGTGGGGATTTATTTTTCTAGCCTAAGCTTATTTATTTCTTTTTAGGGAAATACATTTTAATCTCAGCTTCTTTATCTAAGTATTTTTTGTACTTATAACGTTTTCAATAACGGTGAATCACTTGGGCTTTTTTCTCCTATATGATTGAAGCTGCCCGACAGTATTTATTGAGTGATGATCAATCAGACTTTGTTTTTTAATAGTATATCTTCAAGACTTAAGTTTTTTTTTTTTTTTTTTTGAGATAGAGTCTCACTCTGTTGTCCAGGCTAGAGTCATGGCTTCAGCCTACCTCACAGCAACCTCCAACTCCTGAGCTCAAGCAATCCTCCTGCCTCAGCCTCTCGAGTAGCTGGCACTACAGGCATGCATCACCATGCCCAGCTAATTTTTTCTAGATATATTTTTAGTTGGCTAATTAATTTTCTTTCTATTTTTAGTAGAGATGGGGTCTCACTCTTGCTCAGGCTGGTTTCGAACTCCCGACCTTGAGCGATCCACCAGCCTCGGCCTCCCAGCGTTGCTAGGATTACAGGCATGAGCCACCGTGCCCGGCCCCCATCATTCTTTGTCACCTATAAGAGCTTCATTTGTCTAACGTTTCCACATCTTACCTGTCTTTTAAGATCACACTCAAATCTTTCTACCTCCAGAAATATTTCTCTAATTCCTATAATCTTTGTTTTCTTGCTTTTTGTATTTATATTCATTGATATAAGCTTTAGCCTTTAATTATCCAATTTTTGTTATCGAAATACTTATACATTATCATGTCCTGTCAGTGAGTGGCCATGGTGAATATGAGTGAATTCATTGGATTGGGAGAATTCTGTCTTAAATGCTATGCTGTATTTCATTAATTCTGAGTTCCACCTTTTTTCACATTTTAGCATCTCTGCAATGGGGATGCATCCAATAATCCATGGTTGGCCATGTGGCAATCATGACACAATTGTCTTTGCCTTAGTATCTGCCTCAAACTATGCAGAACCAGTGTCAGCTGAACGAAAGACCATTCCAGAGACAGTAATGGAGCACTTTTAAAAGAATTTCTATATCACCAACATATCTGTTGATACAGAGGGTAGGTATTATGTGGAAAAACATGTACCTTGATGACTGAATCAAAAATGATTCAGAGGATCCAAGTCTGAATAATATTCAGGTGTTTGGAATAGTCCACTTAATATTTTATTTTACTTACATTTTCCATTTTATGGAAGCACATGAATGATTTGTTAAGTGTTTACATGAAATTAAAGTCTAAAAGTGCTCTAACAGTGAACATAAAATAAAATTGGAAGTTTTAAGAAAATGGTTTGTCATAGTCAATTTTAAAAAATTTTAGTAAAACAAAATAGTGATGTATTTTAAAATCAGTGGCATCTTAGTTGTGATCAACTGTATGTGCACTCTCTCTTTATATACATGTGCATGCACACACAGGTAAGCATAAGTTTGAGCTACATTCAAGATGATAATGATTATAATATAGTGAGTAACAGCACTATTTTCATTATACTAGCTGAAATCCCACCTGCACTGAGTTAAATTTTTCCTAATTGGATTTTTGAAGCACATCTTGACCTGATATTTAAGTGGTAAAATCTGTGTCTGTGTAGGATCATTGGTTGGGCCATTTCTGTTCTATTCAGAGCTAGTTATATAGATTTATAAACTTCATATTATAGAAAATTTCAGATACAGCAAAAGCAAACAGGATATAATGATCAGCTTCCACTGAACTATCTTTATGCAAATCCTAGACTTCATATATTTTCATATGTTAATATTTCAGAATATGTCTCTAAAAGATGAGAACAGGCTAGACAAGGCAGCTTGTGCCTATAGTCCTAGCTATTTGAGAGGCTGAGGCAGGAGGATCACTTGAGCCCAGGAATATTAGACTGTAGTAAACCATGATTGCGCCTGTGTAGCCACTGCATTGCAATCCAAGTAACATAATGAAACTTCATCTCTTTAAAATATAAAAGATGAGGCTGGGTGAGGTGGCTCACACCTGTAATCCTAGCACTCTGGGAGGTCGAGGTGGGAGGATTACTTGAGCTCAGGAGTTTGAGACCATCCTGAGTAAGAGTGAGACCCCATCTCTTCTAAAAATAGAAAGAAAATTAGCCAAACATCTAAACATAGAAAAAATTAGCCAGGCATGGCACGGTCGTGCATGCTTGTAATCCCAGCTACTTGGGAGGCTGAGGCAGGAGGATCGCTTGAGCCCAGGGAAGTTGCTGTGAGCTAGGCTGATGCCATGGCACTCTAGCCCAGGCAATAGAGTGAGACTCTGTCTCAAACAAACAAATATATATATATGAATGAGAATTCTTTAAAAACAGCATGATACCTTCGTCATACCTACAATAATTAACAGTAATTCCTTACTATCATCAAATATCTAGGGGTCAGTCTTCAAAAGATAGCCCAAATGATCAGTTATATCATAATTTGTTTATTCTGTGTATTAACATATCCAGATACCTTCACATGTTCTTACTACCTTAAATTGGCTAATTCATTTTTCCATAAAATTATATTAATAGTTTCTGCTGTTTTACAGGGTAAGCCACATCAAAGACTTCATTGAACAATACCAAGGATCTCAAAGAAGTCCTCCCTTTTCCCTGGCAACAGCTCTTCCTTTCCTCAAATTGCTAGATGAAACACTCACACTGGAAGAAGCAGATTTACAGAATGCTGTAATCATCCAGAGACTCCAAAAGACTGCTGAACCTTTTAGCAAACTTTCAGAGCATTGATTTTTGATAGATTAATTGGAAAATTTGCAGAGAAATGATGGTTGTAAGTGGGCAAACCAAAATGGGGGGACAGGAAAAGTCAAATTTGCTGGACTTTTGGTTTGCCTACTGTTTAACTTTCCAGATAAGAAGATTTTTAAGTAAGTACAGGTTAAGAAAGTAACATATGACTGGAAAATATATTCAGTGTACTTTTTCCAAAGGCTACTCAAAAGAAAAATATACTTATTTTCAAATACCAAGTAATCAACATAAGATATATTAAATAGCTGTATCATTTAGAATCTAAATATCATATAAATTAGCAAATATGTTCACAGCATCTGTCATTCAAACATCATTCCCAAACAGCAGGGATTTATTTAAATGTTTGCTGCCTCAGCATTTTTAAATAACACAGTACATTAAAAAATTATAAGTGGCAGGTTAAAAAACATCAATGTAATTATTTTAAAACTCAGATATGATCAAAAGTTTAGAGAGACCTGGTTTTACCACATCTATGCCTAATTTTCACAGTGTTCTTGGTTTTCATTCTGTATTGGCAAGATACACCCAAATATTAATTTGGCAACAGTATCTAAGATGTATTTTCATTTAAGAATAAAATTGTGTGTTTAGTACAATGGCAATATTAATCTGCCTACTCAAATTTCTATACTTCCTAAAAATGTAAATTTTTTAAAAATTACATTTTCTCTACTACAAACCCTAGTTCATTCCCTTTTATTTTCTTTGAAAAGTTGGGGATTTGTCTTTAGCTAACATTTGGGATTAGCCATTCATTTGCTACCACTTACTTAGAATCTATTGCCTGTTCTTTACATTACTAATTAACAAATATTTTTTTAAATGCATCACATGAAGTATGGTTTTGTATTTAAAACATCAGTCAACCTGTGTATACATTAGAGCAGCTATCGGAAGCCTTTTTGGCACCAGGAAGGGTTTCATGGGAAGGTTTCATGGAAGACAGTTTCTCCATGGACAGGAATGGGTAGAATGGGGTGTGGCCTCAGGCAGTGATGTGTAGCCTGTTTCCTAATGAGCCATAGCCCAGGGGTTGGGGACCACTGCATTAAAGGATTATTTATTACATTTTGTTGTCATCAAGGAAAACATGCTTTGTATCTTAGACTTCTAACTAAAACAAGTTAGACTTTAATATTTCACTGTCAAAGTAAATCTCCTTATCTGAAAATAAGTTTAAGAAGTGGTTATGAGGATCATTCAATCAGATTAAGTAAAGTGTACATTGAGTGTGAACATCCCACAGCAGTAATGTTCATAGGTGCTAGTTATATGCTATAAAGCAGCAGTCTCAAACTTTTGGTCTCAAGACCTTTTGTTTATGTGGATGTATATAGTATATACTTCAATATATATTAAAGTTTAAATATTTATTTAAATTAATTCCAAAACCGATTTAGTGAGAAGAATGGCATTGTTTTCCATTTTTTTTAATATCTTACTTTCTGACTTGAAAACAGATGGATTCTCATGTCTGCTTCTACATTTACTATTACCATTTATACATCATGTAGCTCTGGAAAATACTGGTATACTCATGAGAGAAGAAAAGAAGAAATTAACAACCTTAGTGTGATTATGAGAAAAGGTTTGATTTTAAGATTCCCTGAAGGATGTCAGGAACAGCCCAGGGGTTCTTGCCACACTTTGATAACCATCTTAAAAAGCAGACTGGGCATGGTGGCTCATGCCTATAATCGTAGCACTCTGGGAGGCCGAGGCCAGAGGATTGCTCAAGGTCAGGAATTCAAAACCAGCCTGAGCAAGAGCGAGACCCATCTCTATATAAATAGGAAAGAAATTAATGGCAACTAAAATTATACAAAAGTACTGGGCGTGGTGGCGCATGCCTGTAGTCCAGCTACTCGGGGGCTGAGGCAGGAGGATTGTTGAGCCCAGGAGTTTGAGGTTGCTGTGGCTAGGCTGCGCCATGACACTATCTGGGCAAGAGTGAGACTCTGTCTCAAAAAAAAAAACAATGGTTCACAATGTTTCTCAAGCCTTAGTGTAAGAATCACTTGGGAAGCTTTAAATAAATGCCTATTCCTGCCACCTACCACAAACATTCATTGTATCTGGGATGGGTGCTGGTCTGATTTGTAATTTGCGTATTTATGAATGGGGTAGATACCATTCTTCAGGAAATCTGAGTCCTTATCGGTGTCCCCAGTTTGCTCCTAGAGAGGCTTCTGCCTATTAATCTGAAATATGTGCAACTATACTTTATAGCACAGCTGAGACAGGCTGGAACATTTAATTAAGGTTTTTATTAAGGCTCAGGATAACAAGGGATATGCAGTACTAGATGACTATCTTTTGTTGGTGGTCTATTTCCCTAGCTCCCAGCCATTCATGCCAGAGGTTGTGTTTTTATTACAGAGCAAGACACAGGGAGCTTTTCCTTTGTTCTTTCTCAAAATAAAGAGTATAATTTGAAATACAAATATTTATTGTCGGTAATGTTTACAAATAAGATGGTAAATCAATGAACTTACCTTTCAGATATAAAACAGTAACTTATCATTTTAATATGTTCAAAGACTTTAAGAAATGTTTCATTAGGCATTTTCATTTACATATTATATCAATATATGTTTATGTAGCATTTTCATTATATAATTATAATCAATACATGATTTTCTATGTATTTCATAAAGGACCTCTCACTGGGAATGTTTCTTGTATACCTTACAGAGAACTCACCCGAGTTGCAGTAAGCTAATACTTGTAATTCCAGCATTTGGGGAGGACAAAGCACGAGGATCACTTGAGGCATGAGTTTGAGACCAGCTTAGGGACATAGTGAATTCTACAAAAATTTTTTAATCAACTGAGTGTGGTGGCATGACCTGTAGTCCCAGCTACTCCGAGTTGCACTCCATCTGGGACAGAGGGACCGTGTATCAAAAAAAAAAAAAGGAAAACAAAAGCCTCTTGATAATTTTCCAGTTTTATATTTAACGTTGGAGGATCTCCTGTGCATACATGTAAACGACCCCAGTGACAGGTTCCTATAGAGGACAGGGCTGTCAGCAGCAATAGCTTCTTTTTGTAACTCTGAAATTTGTGTGTTAATGTGAATAATATTCTCAAAGGTTTTCTTTTTTTTTTTTTTTTTTGCTAACTCAAAGCTGTTAGATAATTCTCAAAGGTTTTTCTAATGAGAATCATTGATAAAGCTTTTTTACCTGAAGTTTAAAAGTTGTAAAGTTGTTAGTTAAATGGTGGAAATCTCAAAACAGGTTGACTTTGGAAAAAGAATTGCTAAGGGAAGAAAGCTAGAAAAATAAGCATGTTAGGTATGGAATGCAATTGACCTGAGCAGTTGTTCCAAACTGTCTTCAGTCAGTTTCTTGCGAATAATTGCTAGAGCTGACATATTGGAGAATATGTTCTATTTACAGATTCTGATGTATTGATGAATTTTATGTGTTTTCCAGGTTAAAAAATACTCTTAATACTTCTCTCATTAGTTAACTTATTTGTTTCATTGTGTTGATAATAAGTATGATTATTTCATGCTTCAAACTCTTTATGGAAGGCAATCTTTTGCTAATGGCTTAACTATCTTGAAGGAGAAATACGTGTTTGTTAAAGGATTGTGAAATATTTACACTTGTTTAAAAATAGTAACATGTGGATGCATTTGTTATTTTGTCAAAGTCTTTCAGTTTGAGAATCACAACATTTATTAGTGCTTCACTTCAACAGCATATACTTTCAATTTACATCTCAGAAATGTAAATGTGATATTTAAATACTATACATGATTATGTTTTTTTTTTTACCATTTTGTGTGTCATGAATGAACTAGCATTGAAGCTCTTTGGTTATCTTTGTTCTTTATCTTCCTAAGTACAAACCATCTAATTAAAAAATTACTAATCACACTAAATCCTCAAATAGAAGTGGTTTATTTCTTTTTTTTTTTTTTTGAGACAGAGTCTAACTTTGTTGCCCCAGGCTAGAGTGAGTGCCCGTGGCGTCAGCCTGGCTCACAGCAACCTCAATCTCCGGGCTCAGCGATCACTGCCTCCAGCTCCCAAGTAGCTGGACTAACAGCATGCGCACCATGCCAGCTATTTTTGTGTAATATATTTTTTAGTTGTCAATTAATTTTATTTCTTTTTGGTGGAGACGGGTTCGCTCAGGGGTGGTTTGAACTCCTGACCTTGAGCAATCCGCCGCCTCGGCCTCCCAAATGCTAGGATTACAGGCGTGAGCAACCACGCCCAGCCAGAAGTGGTTTATTTCTTAGACTAGTATTTAGCTCTTTGTCATTGGTTTTACTTTATTTTTATTTATTTATTTTGAGACAGAATCTCACTTTGTTGCCCAGGGTAGAGTGAGTGCCTTGGCATCAGCCTACCTCACAGCAACCTCAATCTCCTGGGCTCAAGCAATCTCTGCCTCAGCCTCCCGAGTTACTGGGAGCTACAGTAAGGCATGCGCCACCATGCCTGGCTGTTTTTTTTTTTTTTTTTTTTTGAGACAGAGTCTCACTTTGTTGACCAGGGTAGAGTGATGCCATGGCATCAGCCTACCTCCACAGCAACTCAATCTCCTGGGCTCAGCAATCCGATTTGCTCAGCTCCGAGTATCTGGGACTATAGGCATGTGCCACCATGCCTGGCTAAGGGTTTTTTTTTGGTTTTTTTTTTGAGACAGAGTCTCACTTTGTTGCTCAGGCTAGAGTGAGTGCCGTGGCATCCTAGCTCACAGCAACCTAACTTCCTGGCTCAGCAATCTACTGCCTCAGCCTCCCGAGGTAGCTGGGACTACAGGCATGCGCCACCCTGCCCGGCTAATTTTTTTGTATTATATATATTATGTTTAGTTGGTCAATTAATTTCTTTCTATTTTTAGTAGAGACGGGGTCTCGCTCAGGCTGGTTTTGAACTCCCAACCTTGAGCAATCCACCCGCCTCGGCCTCCTAGAGTACTAGGATTACAGGCGTGGTTTAGGCAGAGTGGTGTATGCAATATCCCAGAAAGGACCTTAGAAGAGAAGGTAAACATTAACTGAAAATGCATCACAGACCTAAAATATAAAGGCTGAAACTACGAAACTCATAAGCAAACGGGCGAATCTTCATAATATTGGGTTAGACCATTGTTTCTGAGGGTATGGCAAGTACAAGGTGGACCACATCAAAATTAAAAACTAAGAAAAACTATGTGCTATAAATGAGTAGGTGAAAAGACAACCCATAGAATGGGAGAAAATAGTTGCAAAACATAGGGATTTATATTGATAAAGAACTCTCACAACTCAACAATTAAAAGACAACCCAATTTTAAAATGGCTAAAGGATTTGAGTAGATATTTCTCTAAAGATATGCAAACGAACAATAAGCACACGGTAATACAAAACTATAAAGAGATACTATCTCTTAGGATGGCTATGATGAAAAAAACAGACAAATGTGGGGGAAGATGTGAAGAAATCAGAACACATACATTGCAGATAGGAATGGAAACTAGTGAAGGCAGGCCTCTTAGAAAAAAGTTTGGCAGTTCCTCAAAAAGTTAAACACGGAATTACCACATGACCCAGCTATTTCACTCCTAAGTATTTCACACCCTAGAGAAATGAAAACATGTTCACATGAAAACTTGAACACAAACATTCATTAGCATTATTAATTATCTATAAGAGCCAAAAAGTGGAAACAAACCAAATGTTCAACAGGTTAAGAATGGATGAATGTAATGTGGACATAATATGGATAAATATAATGGACTATTGGGCAATAAGTGAATGAACACAACATAGAAGACATTATGCTAAGTAAAAGAAGCCAGTCAGACACACAAAAAACATTGTATAATTCCGTTTATATGAAATGTCCAGAATTGGCAAACATACAGAGACAGAATGTAGATTTGTAGTCTAAGTCTGGCGGTAGGGAGTGACTGCTATTGGGGAGGGGGTGTCTTTTAGAGGGGATGAAAATTTTCTAAAGTTAGATTGTCATAGTTGCACAACCCAGTGAACATACAAAAACCTACTGAATTATAAACTTTAAATGAATAAATTGCATGGTATGTGAATTACAACCTGATAAAGCCATTGGGGTCTGTGTTTCTTCCTATTGATTGAAATGCAAATGTGATGCCTGGTACTAGTGCAGCTATCTTGAGACCCTGAGTGCTAGGATTGGTAGATCAAATATACAGGAATCTGATGGTTTCAATGAAGTTGATTTACCAACCCTGAACTTCTTCCCTCTAGACGTTTACATAGGAAACAAAATTTGATCTTGTAAGCAACTATTACTTTGGATTTTTTGTCATGGCTAAATCTAATCCTAAAGGATACACTACCCAGTTTATAGCAAGTCATTGCATTTTATGTTTCAATTCCTTAGTCTACACACTGGATACCTTTTGTTTCCTTGATTGAAGCAATAACTTAGTTAGGTGGACAATCCCATCTTCTGTATGAGAAGTTGGAAAATGTGTATTTTGTGCATCCAATATCAAGTTTAGCAGGTTGAAAGACTGTTCAGCCATAATATAAGTTTGAACAAGTTAGCAATAATTTATTGCTTTTTTTGCTTTTTTTTTTTTTTTTTTTTTTGAGACAGAGTCTCACTCTGTTGCCCAGGCTAGAGTGAGTGCCATGGCGTCAGCCTAGCTCACAGCAACCTCAAACTCCTGGGCTCAAGCAATCCTCCTGCCTCAGCCTCCCGAGCAGCTGGGACTACAGGCATGCGCCACCATGCCCGACTAATTTTTTCTATATATTTTTAGTTGACCAATTTCTTTCTATTTTTTTAGGTGAGACGGGGTCTCACTCTTGCTCAGGCTGGTCTCAAACTCTTGACCTTAAGCGATCTACCCACCTCGGCCTCCCAGAGTGCTAGCAGGCGTGAGCATCGCGCTTGGCCTATTGCTTCATCTTTAAACTTTTTGCTGACTTTTACCCATGGGAATTTAGCAGGAGGGTTTAGCGCGATCCCTCGCGAGCTACCCCCGCCTGGGTGTGCAGGCGCTTACTCCCTCGGGGACCTGCGCCCAGGAAAAGCAATCCTGGCGGACGTGCTGGCGTCTCCCGGACCCCGCGATTTTGGCCCATGGAGTGTTCGGGGAAACTGAGCCCTGCACTTCGCAGTTCCCGGGTTTCCCGCGCGTGGCTGGCGGCTGGGCCAGGCCGCCCCTCGCCGCGCCCACTTGGCGCGGAGCCGCCCTCCGCGGGGCGGTAGCAGCGAGGCGACGCCGGTCGGAGCAGCAGTGCGCGATGGCCGAGCCGCCTGGACCGGCCCCGACCGCGGAGGCGCCGCCGCCCCAGCGGGAAGCGCTCACCTCGGAGCCCGGCCCGGTGAGAGCAACGCGAGGGCGCCGGGCTGGGAGGGCGCGGGGTAGGGGCGGTGCGAGCGGAGACCCCGCGGCCGGCGTCCCCAGGGGCTGGAGGGCGGCGCTGCGGGACTGGCCGCCCATTGCGGGCTTCGGCAGTTGGTAGCAAAGAGGCTGAGGATGTTGGGGCGCCCCACAGAGAATACAGTGGGTCCTGGACAAGCGAGGTAACTCTCTGGTCTCCTGATTCCCAGACGAGGGCTCCTGGCCAGGCCACCCCCTGCAGGTCCTCTCCGGGGTCCTCAGCCCTGGGCAGGTGGGGTTTCAGCTGCGCGTGGAGGAGGCTGCCTCCCTTCCCCGTCACCTCTGAAGCCTGGCGTCGCCCAGGCACCAGGCCCTCCTGGCGGGGACCGACCCCAGGCACGGCCTTCCTGGCAGGTGGCAGCCGGAGGTGTCCTCAGTGCCTCCGCACGCCCTCGCGACGGGCTGGGCGCGGGCGGCCAGGGCGGCTGTGCCGGAGCGGACTCAGGGCCCCTGGGCTCGCGGGCCCGGCTGACCCGACACCCACGCCCCGCTCCACGGTCGCGGCGTCTGTGGTCGCGGCATCTGTGGCCTCGCCGGACCACCGCAGCCCGCCGTCGTGGCTCAGCGCTTCCTCCCAGGCGCTTCAGAGCAAGGGACTGGGTCCCCCAAGAAAGAAAGTGAGATAAGGAGGCTCTCTGGGGACGAAATTCAGGGTGAGACTAACAACAGCAAGAGGGAAAACTGCCATTGGCAGTGAAGTGCCAGCATTCAGTTCTCCTTACGACCCTGGGAGGTGTACTGTCCCATTTTACCTGGGAGGACACTGAAGCTCTGCAAGGTGCAGTACCTTCTTTAGGTCACACAGCGAGAAACGGCAGACCCCAGAATTTGAATCCGAGTTTCTCCGACTATAAAACTGTGAGGGGCTATGACGTAAGTAGGCAAAACTGTCGTCCTCAAGACTCCAAGGCCTTACCGTGTCCCTAGTTTCAGCTGGGGTTTCTTTTGAGTGCCTTCTGTGTTCTACGAACTTGCTAGGCCCATTTAGGGGGAAACAGGAGTCCCATTGTGGGCGAGGGGAAGACTGTCATGTGGATTCTGCCTATTTTTTAAGTTTTCTGGAAGTTGAAATAATGTTCACACAATTATCAGAAAAGGAGAAGACATCCTGCCTTGAGTGTGGTTTTCTCCTGTGGGTAGGAAGAGGGTGCAAAGGATGCGATAAGCCCTTATCTGGGCAGACCTGCCTTCAGAAGAGCCTGCTTGTGGTGTCCTGTTAGATACCGAAATGGGTGAAGCCGGAGTCCTCCCCACACCCTCATAAAATAAGAAAGAAGCGTCCTCATCGTCTTTTGAAGAAATGTCAGTTTACACAGTGTTTCTGTGGCCATTTATTGCTTCAGTGAATATATATTGAGCACTTACTGTATACCAAGCATTGTTCCAGGTACTGGAGATACCATAGCAAATAAAAGTTATAGTTCTTGCTCTCAGTGGGGAGAGGCAGGAAATATTAATAGTGTACCAGGCAGTAAAATACAATTGAGAGAGAGACTTAGGTGGTCAGGGAGTGTGAGGTGACATTTAGGCTCAGGCCTGAATGACAATGAGTCAGCTTTTTGAAGACAGAGGAGCCTCACAGGCAGTGCAAAGGCCCTGAGGCAGCAACAGGCGTGGGCATTAGGAAGGAAGCCACCATGGCTGAAGGAGAGCTATTTGAAGTGAGGTGGGCAAGGCAGTGAGAGCCGATGGGGTGGGCTCATTAGGCTATGGTGAGGACTTGGAGTTTTATTCAAACTGTAATGGCAAGCTGTTAGAAGGTTTCAAGCAGCAAGGAGACAGGGTTTGATTTATATCATTACAGGATCACTGGCTGCTGGGTTGAGAGTGGATCACAGGGAACAAGAGCAGAAGCAGAGAATCCACTTAGGAGGTGCTGACAGAAGAGATGGGGAATTGGGAAGAGGAAGTGAGGATGAATCCTAGGTTTGTGGCCTGAGCCACTATGCGGACATTGGTGTCATTGATGCGATGGGGACTACAGGGTTAGGAGCTGGTTTAGAAAACTGGATGGAAATCAGAATCTGTGCTTTGACTATGCTAAGCTGATGCCTGTCAGGCATCCATGTGGGGCTGTAAGTAGGCAGTTGAATATTCAAATATTCAAGTCTGGAGTTCATAGTGTGGAGTGCGCAGGATGGTTAGGGCTCGTGATATATATATATATATATATATATATATATATATGCCATATATATATGGCTCATAAACATTACTTTCTTTCAGTAGTAAGCTGATAAACAGTGGTGAGGGAGGAAGTTCTGATTTGTTATGTGTACTGGCTTTCTGTGTTTTAAATACTCACTATAACTGATTTCAGGCTGCCAGTGGTTCAACAGTTGGCTCACAAACTCACAAAGGTCTTGAACATTTAACAACTGCTCTCAGAGCCATTGCCTCATTTACTCATCAAAACAACCTTGTGAGGTTGACAGGGATATCCACTGCATTTGACAGATAAGGAAAACAAGGCTTAGACTTAGAGAAAGAAAGGTCACACAGGGAGTAGGTGGCAAAGAAAGGGCTCAAGCCCAGGTCTCCCAGCTCTGGCCTGCTGACTCAGCAGGTTAAAGCTGCCCACAGCAGGAAGCATAGGGGGAAATGTAAGGAAGAACTTCCCCCTGGAAATGTTTAGAGGTCATGGTTTGGGATTCTTTTTTTTTTTTTTTTTTCTGTCTCACTTCCCCTTAGGATGATTTCGGGGCAAAATGGTGCTGAAGGGTTGCTGTAAAAGCCTTCAAGACATCATAGGGACCTCAGGATGCTTCTGAAAGCAGTGTGGGGAGCTGTTTTGTGTCTGTGGGGGTAGGGGCTTAATACCTCTGTCTCCTCCAGGACAGCAGAGCTGGTCGCCTCTCTTTCTGTACGAAGGTGTGCTATGGCATTGGTGGGGTCCCCAACCAGGTGGCTTCCAGTGCCACAGCCTTTTACCTACAGCTCTTCCTGCTTGATGTGGCACAGGTGAGTGTGGGCAGCCACCCAGGGTCTCCCAATGGCATCTTCCTTGGTTTCGGGGCCTCCCACCCGCACCTGTTCTTCCACTCCCGCCATCCTCAGTAGATAGCACTTCTGACCCCAGCCTGAAGCTACCAAGGGCAGTCTCCTGGAGGATGTCTACTGCAGCCTATTCATAGTAGGAAAATGAGAAACAATGTGATAACCCAACATTATAGAAGCAGTTGAGTAAGTAAGGTAGTCCACATGATGGACTCTTGGACAACCATTCAAAAGAATGATCTGTACCATTCTTTTGGAAGGATATCCATGATCTGTCAGATAAGAAAAGCTAGTTTTAGGCGACTTCTGGGGGCCCCCCTCTCTTGGGGCCCCAGAACCTCGTCCATTAATAAAAAAAAAATAAAAAAAAAAAAATAAATAAAAAAATAAAAAAAAAAAAAAAAAGAAAAGCTAGTTTTAGAGAAGAGTATATAAAATGATCCCGTTTTAGCAAAACAAAAACATGTTCCATACGTGTATTTATATGGGCATATGTATGTATGCATCTATACATGATTAAAATTGAGTATGGAGAAAATTCTAAAAGGATATACACCAAGTTGTTAATGTTAGTTATAGGAAGGAATGGTGTAGGATAGAGGGTAAGTAAAATCAAATTTCTAAAATAAAGTATCCATGATTTTTAAAATAACACTCTGACCCCCTTTATGTAAAATTATAAATTTCAAACAAAAATGCATGAAAGGATGATCATCAGAATTGTTCTGGCAGTTGTCTCAGCATGGTGGGATTGCAGATGAGCTTCACTTAATGTTTTCCTGTATTGTTTGAATGTTTTTCTACTGAGTGTATCATTTATGTAGTCAGAAAAACCAATAAACCATTTTCCTTGTGAAACACAATGTCTACCTCTGACTGTCAGCTCAGGTGTGCCCTCCTTGCTCTGAGCCACCCCTACATGAGAGCCCCTGGAGTCCTCTCTAGCAGTGGCTGACATGAGTAATAATGGTACTGTCAGCTCCCTCTGGGGCCCCTTTCTTCTCTAGCGCAGACTCACCCCCAACCCTTGTCATCGGTGTCCTTGTGGGGGAGGCTGGGTGGGCCTGGGTATCCTCTGACTCTGCCGGGCCTTGGCTGTCTATCCCTCCCCTGTCCATTTCAGATCCCTGCTGCCCAGGTGTCATTTGTCCTGTTTGGAGGGAAAGTGTCTGGGGCAGCTGCCGACCCAGTGGCTGGGTTCCTCATCAACAGGAGCAGGAGGTCCATGTCAGGACGACTCATGCCCTGGTGAGCAGCCCCTTCCCAGGATCCAGGCGCCCACCCCTGGCCCTGAGCTCACTGTGTTTGTCACAGCCTGTTTCTTAGTGGAAACCCTCTGGACAGCTAGAGAACAAGACCGAACAGTGTAGTAGGTGCACTGGGGACTGGACTGGGTCACACTGTGAGTCATGCAGTAGCTGAGCGACATTTTGGGGGACCCTGCCTCACCAGATGGCACAAGGATAGAGAAAGCCTCCAAGACTCCCAGGCTTGGCCTGTGGCTCTACGTGTAGTCAGGCTGGGCTGGAGGCCACGCGAGTCTCACGGAGGAAGCACACCTTTCCTGTGCACCAGTGTCCTTAATACAGGGAATGGCACCGCGCAACCCCCAAGCGCCCCCACATCCCGTTGGCCACTCCTCCCCTCTCAACGGCTTCTCCTGAGAGCCCAAGCCCAGGGCTTCTCAAGGGGCAGAGAAGGGGCAAGGTTGTTCCGGGCTGGGTGGGCCCTTCACATCTTCCTGTCCTGGTGCTGGGGGCCGCTCCACTTCAGCTGTGCTTCTGCAGGGTGCTGGGCTGCACCCCCTTTGTCGCCTTGGCCTACTTCTTCCTGTGGTTCCTGCCCCCGTTCACCAGCCTGCGCGGGCTCTGGTACACAATCTTCTACTGCCTGTTCCAGGCCCTGGCCACGGTAAGCAGGGCCCCCTTCCCTGGGCCTGGACTCTGGGGAACCCCAATGCTGGCCAGTGGCCACGCTGAAGTGTTCTGGGGGACTCACTGCCCTCACCTTCCCCTCTGTGCCTGGAAATCTACCATTAGCTGCGCTGGAAGTCCCCTCCTGCCTTTGAGCCCCTAACTCCAGCTCGGGCTCCGGCTCCCGGGGAGCAGTTGGGATGTGTCATTCCAGCCCGGGGGGGGGCCAGGGTGCGACGGGGCGGGTGCCGGCCTTAGCCTGGCAAAGCGGGGGCCATCCTAAGCCCTGCCGGCGCCCCAGTTCTTCCAGGTGCCCTACACGGCGCTCACCATGCTCCTGACGTCCAGCCCGAGGGAGCGGGACTCGGCCACCGCCTACCGTGAGTGCGGGCGTGGGGAGCGCGGGCGTGGGGAGCGCGGGCGGGCGCCCCGACCCCGCGCCGGGCCGTCCAGTCACCTGGCTGCGCCCTGTCTTCAGGGATGACCCTGGAGATGGCGGGGACGCTGATGGGGGCCACCGTGCACGGGCTCATCGTGTCGGGGGCCCACGGGCCCCACAGCTGCGAGGACGCTGTGCTCCCCGGGCCGGCCGCCGTCTCCCCTGACGCCGTGAGTGCCCGACGCGGGCGGGACGCTCGCGCCGCCCGCTTCCTCTAGGTCCGCTGCTCCCCCTGTCTGCTGGGCTCCCTGCCCTCTCCTTCCTTCCCGCCCCCCAGCTGAGTCCGGTCCCCCAAGCCCCGCAAGCCTCGCCAATTCTGCCCCTCGCGGCTCCTTCCTGCGCATGCGCGCGGCGGCCGGAGGGGCGGGGCCGGCGAGACGGGGCGGCAGGCGCAGGCGGGGACTGCCAGGGCGGCGGAAGGGCTCGGTGTCCCTGGCTCTGGGTAAAGCCCTCCTGCCGGGCGACCGCCGCCCCCCGGGACGTGGTGAGGTGGAAGGGGGAAGCCGAGCAGCCCACTGCCGCGGGCAGCGAGCAGCGGATACGCGCCCTCTCCACCCCGAGCTTGTCTTCCGCTTCTCCGTTCGCCCTTTCTCCTTCAGCCGGTGGCACCGGTGTCCAGAACCCCGGGCATCCCCCTTGCCTCCTCCCGCTCACCCTCCAGCCTATTCCCGAGGCATGCCCGTTTTCTAGAACAACATCTTCTGGATGTGCTCAGCTACTCTGCGCCCCACTGCTGGCCCCGGCCCGCGTCGCCGCCCACCGCAGCAGCCCCCTCCAGCCACTCCCCCAGCACGGCAGGTGGCCTCTGAAAGCAGTCTGGGCAAGCGCGCCCTGGACTTCGGGACTTGGCCCGGGCCGGCCCTCCCCAGGTTTGGCGGGCGAATTGCTCGAGGTCAAGAGTTCGAAACCAGCCCGAGCAAGAGCAAGACCCCCGTCGCTACTATAAACAGAAAGAAATTAAGTGGCTGACTAATATATATAGAAAATATTAGCTGGGCATGGTGGCGCATGCCTGTATCCCGGCTACGCAGGAGGCTGAGGCAGGAGGATTGCTTGAGCTCAGGAGTTTGAGGTTGCTGTGAGCTAGGCTGACGCCATGGCACTCTAGTCTGGGCAACAAAGTGAGACTCTGTTTCACAGAAAAAGAAAACATTACAATGGAGCCCTTGTACACCTGTCCCCAAGCCTGTCTGCGGGCCAGCTACACACCTGGCCTGTATACAGTCAAAATGAAAGTGTGGGGGCCTCAGGGAGTGTGGGAAACCAGTCTCCCTCTCCCACTCGGCCCACTGCTCCAAGGGATTGCAGCCTCCAGCGCTGGGCCCGCTAGGTGTCTGCTAGGCGCCTGGGTTGGGATGGGTGAGAGCCCCTGGCTCTCCAACTCTGCCCTGGCACTACCAGCCTAGGGCTGTGGCCTTGCCCCTCCTGGGCCAGCCCTCCCTGCACCACACACAGGCCACCACTCAGACCTCTCCATGCCCCTCCCCAGTGCTGCCCAGTCGCTGACAGGCTGTGGGTAGAACGAGGGTGCCAGTAGCTAAGGGTTGGGGAGGGGAAGGTGCCAAGGAGTGGGGAGCAAGAGGCTGAGAATCCCTCCCTTGGTACAGAGCCACATGTGAACTGACACTGGAGGCCCTGGGCAGCCCGTGCCACCACTGGACTCCACTTACAAAATACAAATTCACGGATAACATTATCAAGAATTTCAAGACAGCAACAGCAGAGCATTAAACCCCAAGCGCAGTGCCCCATCCTGCCCTCTCTTTCTTCCCCTCCCCAGAGGCAGCCTCTGTCCTGATTTGACTGACTGTCGCTCACTTGCATGTCTTTATATGCATTTTATTACATGCATATTCTTCGCTGAGTGGCAGGTAGCACTGTCCTGTTTTCTATGTTGTCGGGGTCATTGTGCATCTCACGGTGCTGTAATTGCCTGCTTGTGATCTGTCACCCTCTCCAACCACAAGCCCGTTATCAGGGGTCGATGGGTCACTCACTCATCACTGTAACCTGGGGGCCTGGCATGCAGATGTCAGCTACAATAAACGTTTGCTTCACAAAATGAGAGAGAGCGTGCTGACCCCTGGTGGCATCGAGGCCTCCTTCCCATGGGGGAGGCGCAGGTCAGCAGAGGGGACGTATGGAAGGACCATCCTGGCCCTTAGGTCTCTCTCCTGCTGGGGTGATTGGTGGGAGGGGGACCTGGCAACCTTGGGCTTGGGCCTGGGGTCCCTCTGCTCCTATCTGGAGGTACTCCTGCCCTGGCCCTGGGTGTTACTACCTCCGAGAGCGGGAGACATTGCCCCCACCCCAGCTCTGTCCTGTCCCACAGGCTTGTCTCTACTCCATTGCAGCCGCCGTGGTGGTCGTGATTTACCCCGTGTGCAGTGGTCTGCTCTGCCTAGGGGTGAAGGAGCGGCCAGGTATGGAGTGCAGTGAGGGCTGGGGGAGCAGAAGCTGGGGATAGGGCTCCTCTTGGGGGTCTATGTTGTTTTTGAGCTCTGCCAAACTCAAGTGTCACCTTCCTGTATAGACGCTGCTGACCCAGCCTCAGGCCAAGGCCTGAGCTTCCTGGCTGGGCTGGGGCTCACCGCCTGCCACCCACCCTTCCTGAAGCTGGTGCTCTCCTTCCTGTTCATCTCAGCTGCCGTTCAGGTACCTCTGGCTAGCTGGTCCCCACTCCCTCGGCTCCAGCCGTGCTGACCTTGTGTAGGTTCAGGGTTCAGTGTCTCGGCCCCCCGCATTAGAGCAGGGCTTGAGTTTCATAGGGAGAAATCTGCAGCTGGCACGTGGCCCAGAGAGGCTGGTGCTAGGATGGAGACCTGGGTAGGGCATGTGGGACTGAGGACAGGGCTTAGGTACTAGGAGGTTGACAGTGTCTGGAGTGGCTTCCTTGCATGTTACCTAAAATGTAGTGAAGTCCACCTGATCTTAGCTGTGCGAGTGGTGAGGGTGGCCCAGGGACCCCCTGTGTTGGGGATAAGTGTTCTTTGTGGGGGAAGGGACTGCATGATGGTGGCAGCTAGGCAAGTTCAAAGTCCCAAAGGAGAGGCCCTGTCCCTGCCCTCACCTTCTGGGCTTCTGCTATTCCCAGCACACACGCATTCCTATCCACCCCCTCAGGTGGAGCAGAACTACCTGGTCCTCTTCTGTACGCACGCCTCCCGGCTGCATGACCACGTCCAGAGCCTGGTGCTCACCATCCTGGTGAGGGGACTTGGGGTGGCAGAGGCCGGGACCCTTGGGGGCCTAAGTTGGGGATGTGTGTGTTCCTTCATGTGACACGCGTGTCTGGAGTTCAGGTGGTCAACATTTTGGATGTTGCTTTGATCTTGGTCACATGCATTCCAGCAGAGGGTGGGACTGGGGCCAGGGTCACGAAGTTAATAGCCACTGGTTCAAACCAGGGACACAGTTGAGCCCGGGCTCCCATCCGCAAGCCAGGGCGCTAGAGCCCGGGCAGAAACGCTGCTCTCTCACAGGTCTCGGCCGTGCTGAGCACCCCGCTGTGGGAGTGGGTGCTCCAACGGTTTGGGAAGAGGACCACGGCCTTCGGGATCTGTGTGCGTGAGGCAGGGAGCAAGGTGGGGGGTGGCGATTGGGGGACAAGGCAGGGGAGGTGACCGTGGTGATGAGCCTTCTGGGGTCAGCAGGGCTGGATCTGCGTCCCTTTGGGTATTCAGAGCCTGGCATGGGGCCAGGCGCGGGGGTCATGGTAAAGAGCTGTGTGTGAATGAGAAAGCCCCGGGAGCAGGTGGGGGCCAGCTGGTGTGTCTGTCTCCCCAGATGATGGTGCCTTTTGCAATCTTGCTGGCTGCTGTGCCCACAGCCCCTGTGGCATATGTCGTGGCCTTTGTATCTGGCGTGAGCATTGCTGTGTCCTTGCTGCTACCCTGGTAGGCTGGGGGGGGGTACAGGGGTGTGGGAGCCTCATATACTTTCATGAGGGTGTTTCCTCCTTCACGTCACCCTGCTGTAGCCATAGGTCCCCTGTGCCCAGCCTGTGCAGACGATGGGGCCCTCCTATTAGGGCACCAAGCAGCAGGAATTTGGGGGTGGGGGTGGGGTGCAGGCACGCATACTGCCTGGCTCTCTGGGACCAGGCTGGTCCTGGACAGCAGGAGGACTCACAGGCTGCTGACTGTCCAGGGTATAAAAGGGACAACTCTGCGCCTCCTTGCCCACAGGTCCATGCTGCCCGACGTGGTGGATGACTTTCAGCTGCAGCACCAGCACGGGCCAGGCGTGGAGACCATCTTCTATTCCTCCTACGTCTTCTTCACGAAGCTGTCAGGCGCAGGCGCCCTGGGCATCTCCACCCTCAGTCTGGAGTGAGTCGCAGGGTGGGCAGGTGCCAGAGGCACAAAGGACCAATGGGGAGGGAAGAAGAGGGCAAGGTCTCACCCTGCCCAGCTAGGGGCCACCCATGAGCCAGGACCTCAGCTGTGCCCTGTGGAGAGTGTGGGGCGCCTCCTCCCCCAGCTCCTCTGTGCCTGTGACCGGCCAAGAGGGGCTTTCTTGGGGGCCGAAGCCCCAGCTCTCCACATTAGAGATTCTCCCTGAATTCCCTGGCCAGCCCACACCCTCGACACTCCCCTGCACTGTAACTGGGCTGATCTGAGCAGGAAATGAAGTACGAGCTTCAGGCGAGGGTGGGGTGGGGTGGGGTGTCGGGGATCCCACCAGCCAGGGATCCCAGCTTGCAGGACGTGACGGGCTGGGTGCGGCGTGTTTCTCCAGGTTCGCGGGGTATAAGGCAGGAGCCTGCCAGCAGGCGGAGGAGGTGGTGGTTACCCTCAAGGTCCTCATCGGTGCTGTGCCCACCTGCATGATCCTCGCCGGGCTGTGCATCCTCATGGCCGGCCCCACTCCAAAGGGACCAAGCCAGGACACCTCCCGCCAGCCGAGCCTTAGGAGGTGGGCCCCCGCACACACGGGCACACACAGGCGGGCACAGGGACGTGCACTGACATGGGACTAATGCCGGCCAGCAGATCGCCCTGCGGTATCACACAGATAGCTGAACACTCCTGCCTTTGGGACATTCTGTCCTTAGCTCGGTGACTCCCTTTTCTCCTGGATGTTCTTCTGCTACTCTGGCCACCCCTTCTCAGTCTTCTTCCTTGGATTACCTGGTGGATAATCCCTCTACCAGGCAATGGGCCCCTCCTTGCTGCCCTGTTCCTTTTGCTCTCTGCAGTCCCCTGGGGACCTCATCTACTTGCCTGACCTCAAGCACCTCTTGGGCCTGGTGACTCCTAAAGCTGCCCCTCTGCCCTGGACGCCCTTTAAGTTCCAGATCCTCGTATCAAGGCAGAGCTGAGGCCTGCTGCAGTGTCGGCTCCCCTGGCCTGTTGCATTCATGAGCACGCTGCGTGCACACACTTACAGAGCCGTGGACACGTGCTCACGCACAGGCCCGCGAGGACAGGCAGGGAGGCATCGCCAGCCCCCCTGCTCCATGGCGATGGCTCAGACTCTTCTCTGCATAATGCCGGAGATTGTGCTTTCCCATCGGGGCGTGGCAAGCGGGTGGGGAGCTGCTTGACGGCACTTGGAGGAACGGGCTTGCGAAGGGAGGCGTCGAAGGGGAGTTGCTGGGAAGATGAGGAGAAGCCACAGAACCTTCCATGGGGCTCTGTGGCAGGACAGACCCTGCTTCTTTCCCTTCCTGCAGGAGGACCAGCTACAGCCTCGCCTGAAGTCTGAGAAGGCTGCTGTGAGCGGAAGCAGCAGGAGCCAGCGTCCTCTGGGCCTGACGTCAGTCGTCAGTCGCTTCCTCTCAGCACCTGAGCACCCGCCACGGCAGTTTCACACACGGCCTTTTCTCCTGGGGTGTGGGGTCTTCAGTGATGCCTCCTGAAGGGACTGGCCTGTGCCCCGGGACCCCCATCCCGCATCCCTTGCCTGTTGACCTCAGGCCAGCTCGGATAGGCCCGTGCCCCTGACTAGCCCAGCAGCACCTCCTTCTGGAAAAAGGCAGCCCCTCCCCAGCCTGGCTCTCAGACCCCTGTGGGAGCCCCAGACCCCATAACCTGTGTAGATAGCAAAGCTCTCCTGACATAAGGACAGACACACAGGCCCCTTGTTTGTCCTGAGGCCTCGTGGACATCTGCTGAAGACAGAGAGGCTGAGAGACCCCACACGAATGGGCAGAGTGAGGACACAGGGACATGCCGGGATGTACAGTTAGAAAGACACAGGCAGAACCGTGAGGCCAACACACCCAGGGAGAAGGAGGACTGAGCAGAGCCGGGCCCCGTTCATGCTCGGTGATGCCACTCAGCTTCTGTCAGTGGACAGAGACTGAGATTGGGCCACCCAGGGTCAATCACTTTTGCAAATAATTATTTGTGTGGAAATACTTTTCTTAGATTTCATCTTATGAAAGCACACAGGAACTACAGTTTTCTAGAGGCCATATTTTTAGGGAAGGAAGATCCACTGAAGGTTATTAGTCTGTGAAATGTGACCGTGGACAGCACTCTCATCCCAACTCCTGGAATCCCCTCGGGAGGGAAAGGGGAGGGAGCCCAATGTCACTGGAGCTGACCATGCCCCCCAGCCATATGCCCCTAGCATGCATTTCCTTAGACCAGGACACGGTGTGGGAGGCAGGTTCCTTCTTCCCTTTGGAAGAGACACAAAGTTGAGACTCCAGAGTGGCCCAAGGCAGCAGGCTGTCGTGGGTCATGTGGCTTGGGGTCTGGGGAGGGGTTGGGGAACCTGTGGGGGAACCCTGATGCCCCAGAAACTCCTGCCTAGAGAAGCCCACACCTACACAGGGCCTGAGGTCCAGACTTGCCCCTACATTTGTCCCCAGCCCCCAGCTCTGCCCCCTCCTTGGGTTCAGCTCTCCATAGGCCCCCACCCATCCTCTTTAGCCTTTAGCTGGCCCTTAGGGCCAAGACCCCCGAGGCCCAGAGCTCAGACTCACACTCAGACATGATGTACTCCTCAGAGCTCAAAGCGTCTGGATTTCCCCACGAACACTGCAGCAGGAGAAGGAACCCAGCGGGGCCTGGCCTGGGCTGCCTGCTGCCTCAACTCTGGCCCTTGTGATGCTGACATGAGGATCTGCTCCAGGTCATAGGGCACCAGACAAACAGCTGGACTCAGTTTCTTTTTTTTTTGAAACAGAGTCTCACTCTGTTGCCCAGGCTAGAGTGCCATGGCATCAGCCTAACTCACAGCAACCTCAAACTTCTGGGCTCAAGCAGTCCTTCTGCCTCAGCCTCCCAAGTAGCTGGGACTACAGGCATGTGCCACCAGGCCCAGTTAATTTTTTCTATATATTTTTAGTTGGCCAATTAATTTCTATTTTTAGTAGAGACAGGGTCTCACTCTTGAGACCTGGATGGTCTTGAACTCCTGACCTTGAATGATCCACCTGCTTCGGTCTCCCAGAGTGCTAGGGTTACAGGCGTGAGCCACCACGCCTGACCATAGGCTCAGCTTCTTGGAATTGCCTGTCTGATTCAGGAAGCGACTGACAGGAAGCTCTGCCCACCCCACTAAGTGCACAAGAAGACACACATGCACACATACTCTCTCTCTCACACACATGCTCCTGGAAACAGGAGAGAACATTTTCTTGCCACTGGGATATCACTGGCCGCATGGAGACCGTACCTGGTGAGACAGAAAGCCAGATAGTTTCTACCATGTTATCACGAAATGTCATGCTTTGGAAACCAAGGCAATGCAGGCAGGATCAGAAGCTTATGGCGAATTCTCTGTTCCCTGCATTTCCTGGGAGTGCAGCTGCAGGAAGCAGTCATACAGTACAAAGACAGCAGCAGGAGGCCCTCCAGGGGTCAGCGGTTAGATCTCAGAGACAGAGTTTGCTCATGGGCTGGGTATATGCCCCACATTTATTCTGTTTCTTCCTCATAGCAGCCCTAGGATGTGGGTATTATTAATATTATTATTATTCTCAGATGAGGAAACAGGCTTAGAGAGATTAAGCTACTTGCCCAAGGTCAGCTGGTGGTGAGGGCGATCTCCAAAGCTTGTGGAGACAGGCAGTGCTTTAAGAATTTTATTGGAGTAGAGGCCATGCCCCAGGCTTTGGTATCACCAGGGCTGTTCCTCTGAGGCCAATGCCAGCATCCCTCCCTGATGGCATGCTGTGACCCCTCTGTAATTCCCGTTGCTCCTTCCTACTTTCTTGCCTCCAGTTTGCGTGCCCTCGGAGCCTCCCACATTTCCACACTGCCTCAAGAGGAGGGATCGCTCCTTGCCACCAAGAGTCTGTCCCTGGCAAAGAACAGGCACCTCCCCTTGCCCCTTCCCTGCCCACTGCCTTCTCCATCTCCACTTAAACCCAGGAGATCGAGCCATTCCCTTGCTCAAGACCCTCTCAGTCCCATGTCACCTCTTCAGAAGCCTTTCCTGCTCCCTGCCCACCCACCATGGCCCTCCCCAACCCCAGCACACTGAGCTTCTCCCTGCTTTGCTTGTACTTAGTAGTACCTACCTCCATGTACAATGATATATTTAGTGATGGTTTGCTTATTTGCTTGATACCCCCATTAAAATGTGAACTTCACAAGCGCGGGAACTTTGGCTTATTTATTGCTAAATCCTCAGTGCCTAGAAGTAAGTGTTCTGTATGAATGAATGCTTGCCGAAATGAATGAGCCAACTGTCATATCACCCTCATCCTAAAATAAAAAAGCCTTCACTGCTTCCTTTAGCTTTCTCCTCTCCAAGTAATCTGCTTTATTTCTTAATATTCTCCCCCAACCCTACTATTCACTCCTTAACCCATTAAACTTGGCCTCAGCCTCCTCCATGGAGGAGACAGCACGCCTGACAAGAGGAACCCCAGCATAGAGAGGGGGGACAGGGCTTTGTATGTTGCTTCCATCTTTTACCATGTGCAACTGGACAACTTAACAAATCTGAGCCTCAGTTTCTTTTTTTCTTTTTTTTTTGAGACAGAGTCTCGCTTTGTTGCTCAGGCTAGATTGAGTGCCGTGGCATTAGCCTAGCTCACAACCATCTCAAACTCCTGGGCTAAAGCAATCCTGCTGCCTCAGCCTCCCGAGTAGCTGGGACTACAAGCATGTGCTACCATGCCCGGCTAATTTTTTCTATATATATTAGTTGGCCAATTAATTTCTTTCTATTTATAGTAGAGACAGGGTCTCGTTCTTGCTCAGGCTGGTTTCAAACTCCTGACCTCGAGCAATCCACCTGCCTCGGCCTCCCAGAGTGCTAGGATTACAGGCGCGAGCCACTGTGCCCGGCCTCAGTTTCTTTTTTGAACACGTGTATACTATGCGTACACCTCAGGATGGCTATGAGGATTAAATGAGATAATACCCGACCAAGTTCCAAAGGAAACCCCTAATGACTGGTCAAGTAATGCTGACCACTCCTTTTCAAAACTCTGTCTTCCCTTTGCTTGCACAACACGCCCTCGTGGCTCTCCTCCACTACCTCTGACACTCGCGTGTCTTTTCCTTTGCTGGACCACACACACACCTCCCCCCTGACTACTCCGCTGTCTATAAATACCACATAGGACACTTCACAACATAATATGATGTTCCTTTGATCAACAATAAGATGAGAACCTACCCAGAATACGCATCACTTATCACGCACCAACAACACACACCACACACCACCTACCAAGAGACTGGTTTCAACTTGGCTCATCAGAGGCTAGCTCTGTTCCACCGGATCCACTGCCTATCTGAGATTATCATCCAAACCACAATCACACATTCATCAAACACATATTAAGGGACTCCTACGAAAAAAATTTTTTTTTGAGATGGTGTCGCTCGATTGCCCAGGCTAGAATCGAAGTGGCAAATCGTCATATTCTCCTGGCAACCTCCAGGGCTCAAGAGATCCCCCCATCCAGCCCCGAGTAGTGCTCGCGACTACGGGCACGTGCCAGCACATCCACAGCTAATTTATTAAATTTTGTGTAGAGATCGGGGTCTTGCTATGTTAACAGACTGGTCCCGTTAAACTCCTGGCCTCAAGTGATACCTTCCTGCCTCAACGCTCCCAAAGTGGCTGGGATTAAAGGTGCTGAGCCACTGCTTTCCTCATTTTTTCTTTTTTTTTCTTGAGACACGGAGTCTTGTTGCGTGCCAGGGCTCGCGTGACCTGCCATGGCGTCAGCCTACTCACCAGCAACCACCTCAAAACTTCGCTGGGCTCAAGCAATCCTGCTGCCCTCAGCCTCCTGATACTGGGACTACAAGCATGCGCCATCATGCGCCCGGCTAATTTTCTATATATATTATTAGTTGCCCAATTAATGTTCTTTCATTATAGTAAGAGACGCGGTCTCGCTCCTTGCTCAGGCTGGTTTCAAGACCGCCTGACCTCTCGACGCAATTCCGCCACGCCTCGGCTCCCAGAGTGCCCAGCCATCGACAGGTGTGGAGCCACCGCACCCACGCCAAGGTGCTTTTTGATAAGTTACTATAAGCATCTACTGCCAGTCACCCAAACAAAAATCTTCGTGTTTCTTTAGATTCCCTTCATCCCCATTTACTTCCCACCACACCATCCCCATATCCAACCAGGCTGGGGCTGAGCAAGGAACAACACAGAGTCTTGTAGTGTGTGGATATCGAATAAATGGTGGAAGTTATTTGAAACTGGCAGAAAGTTGTAAGCGCCGCG